GTGCTGGGAATTGAACCCAAGACTTCATCTGGCCTCAACCTCCAAGTGTAATAGCTGTCTAGTGGCAGCACATGCCACCACAACTGAGTCCTGAAGAAGTCTTGATGGAAGTTAGAAGTGGAAAAGTTCTAAGTCCTGGCCTTAAATTTCTTCAAGTTTTTTTTTTTTTTGGAGAGGTTTTCGCTATAGGGCGCGTGCGCTTGCCAGACAGAGAGAGACATAGAGACAGAAAGCGAGAAATCACCCCCTGGGGAGATGGTCACGCTGCAATCCCTTCTCCTCCATTCTCCTCCTGGGATCTTGGGCATGCACGCACACACACCCGGCGAGAGTTTTAAGCCACCGGGTCCGGGACATGGACCGCGGTTGACTACGTGGGAGTCCAGCGACATAGCCATTACGCTAACTGCTGGTTCCCAAATTCTTCAAGATTTTTGCCCTAAATGAAGGTGGCTTAAGGCTCCATATAGCAAAAACCTCTCCAAAAAAAATAAAAATAAAAAAGACTCCATGAAAAAATTTAAACCCGAGAGTTGAGCTAATTCTTTGTAACACCATATTATTTAATCCCACTATACTACTTTGCATTCACTTACTAAATTCTTACCAACTCTTCTAATTTATGGAATTTGGAAAGATCATTGGAGACCTTTTCTGCAAGCTAAATTTGGAAACAATAAAACAACCTAGAACTACAGGATTAGGAGAGCCTTGTAAACTCTTGGAAGGTTTCCAGTGTGACTTGTCTCAAGAGGATGTATTAACGTCCCACTGTTCTTTCTCTCTTCCTGCTTTTTTTTTTTTTTCCCTTGTCAGGGGGCGTGTGTGCTCAACAGGGAGAGGGAGAGGGAGAAAGTGCCTGGTCATGTGTGGTGGTCACAGCACAGTCCCTTCTCCACTTACACATTCTGTTGAGATTTGGCGCTTGCAGGCCCACATGCCTGTTGAGTTTACCAAGTTGCTGGGTCTAGGACTCAAAAGTCCTGCTCTTCACGGACTCCAGTTGTTTCTGAATAGCTCCCACTGTTACACTTGGAGGGTCTATATATTTTTTAATTAATACGTTTGTTGAAGAATAGTCTGAATGTTAGATAAAGAGAGCAGAGGACCAGAGAAAATAGAACTCTTCTATAATCAAGCTGAAGGTGTATAAGGAGGAGGAGGGGAACAAACAGACCCCAGTGGGGGGTCTAGCCAGTGCCAGGTAAATAACTGACCTGGGAGCTCGCCCATGCGCTGTCTCCTTTAGTGCCCCAATTCTTTTGGTACCTAAGAATATAAATGTGGGTACACATGTGCACATATTCCAAAAAGTAGAGGGGCCACTGGGCAAGAAGGTGTATGAGCTTCCCCACGGAGAGTGGAGAGAGAGAAGAGAATGCAGATGCTGAGTGTTGAAAGAGGGGAAGTGAGATGATTAAGATGGAAGCTGCAGCATCTTGGTATCTAGTCTGTAAGTGACGTACCATCACTTGTATAGGCACACAGACCGAACCTGGGTTAATGTGAGAAGGGACTATAGCAGCAAAATGCCAACTCAATTTCAAATTTATATCACTTAAAAAAAGTAACTGCTTATAATTTCCCTGAATGTTCACTTGGGAGTCCTTTTTTTTTAAAAAAAAAGAATTGAAATCTAAATGCAGAAAAAGATGATGTTAATTGATAATTGCTAATATACTGTTGTAGTTGCCTTTGTCAGGGCTTTGTGGGCAACTTATAATTTACAAGTTGAGTATCTCTAATCCGAAAATACAAAATCTGAAATGTCCCCAAATTTGAAACTTTGAGCATTGACATGATTTCATAGGTGGAAAATTCCACACCTGACCTTCTGTGATGGATCACGGCCAAAACATTGCAGTACAAAAATATTACATAGGATTACCTTCAGGATGTGAGTGTGTAAGGTGTATATGAAATGTGAGTGAATTTCATATTTAGATTTGGATTCCATCCTTAAGATATCTCCTTATGTATTGGGTTGTTGGAAAAGTCATGACACAAATGTCTAATATATTGTCGGAAGTATACTCCAGAATCAAAAAAAAAAAATCTAAAATTTGAAACACTTCTGGTCACAAGCATTTCAGGTGAGGGATACTCACCCTATAACATGTTTGAGACCCTTAGATTGGGAACTGACAACACATGTAAAATTAGGCCTGATCCAAATTAAAATATTTCAAGTTACGTAGTTTTACTTAGTATATGGCAGGAGTTGTAGGAGATGCAGTGATTTGGTCCTGTGTGGCTGACTACCTCTAAAGATTGTTTGCCTTTTGGATGAGTTTTCTATTCTATGTAACAAATTTCTACAAACTTAGTTTAAAATGACAGATGTTTATTATCTCACCCAGTTTCTGAGGTATAGGAAACTGGGCACAGTTTGGTTGGGTGTGTCTGCCTCAGAGTGTTTCTTGAGGTTGCAGTCATCTGAAGGCTTGACTGGGGCTGGAGGATCTGCCTTCAAGACAGTGAACTCACATGGTCATTGGCTGGAGACTTCCATACCATCTGAGCCTCCCGTAGGACTCACAATCTAGGCTGCTAACTTTCCACCCAAAGCAAGTAGTCTGAGAGAGAGAGTGAATATGATAATGATTAAGATGGAAGCTGCAGTGTCTTGGAATATAATCTGTAAGTGACGGACCATCACTGGTACTGCACACAGACCGAACCTGGGCTAGTGTGAGAAGGGACTCTATGCAGGGAGGTTGAGGACAATGGCATTCTTATAGGCTGACCACCACAATCTTTTTTAAGGTTTAGAACAGACATGATTGAAAAAAAAAATAGGGAACCAGCAGTTAGCGTAATGGCTATGTCGCTGGACCCCCATGTAGTCAACTGTGGTTCGCATCCCGGACCCGGTAGCTTAAAACTCACGCCGGGTGCGTGTGCGTGTGTGTCCAAGATCCCGAGAGGAGAATGGAGGAGAAGGGATTGCGGTGTGACCATCCCCCCTGGGGGGTGATTTCTCGCTTTCTGTCTCTATGTCTCTCTCTGTCTGTCTGGTGAGCACACGTGCCCTATAGCGAAAAAAAACTCTCAAAAAAACACAAAAAACAAACAAACCAAAAAAACACAACACTTTGTTTCAGATGCTTATTTAAGTAAGTAGTATGTAGGAGGTTGAAACATAGCTAGAGTTTCTACTACTCTAAAAACTTAGTATTATACTTGAAACTTTATGTTCTTTCTTCTGGTTCTTCATTGTCAGATGCTAGAATTAATTAGCCAAATATTCAGTAGCTTTGAAATTAGAAATTTCAATCTTGTTGGTCCCTAACCAAATGCAACAGTTGAGTTTTTTTTTTTTTCAATCCTAAAACAAATTGGCAAAAAATGATTGCCAAAATGATCTCATTGATGAAGAGCTTAAAATTAGTCACTAATTATCTGTGTACTGAAAAAAAGGACACTGGCAAAGTAGCTGAAAATATTTTGGAGAACTTAAACCCTATGACCTCTTCCCCTGTTTGTTTTTGTCTTTGGACAGTGTTTATTTTTATTTGCCTAGCAATTCTTTAATTTTTTTTTTTTGAATCCTCACACATTTTAATTACCCACCTGAACAAAAGGGCTTTATGTGTTTAGCCTCCGAATGAAATCGTTTGGTAATATCTACAGGTGGAAAGAGTTTAGGAGTCCTGAGCCTGAAGCCTGGCTAAATGACCTCTAAGTTTCCTTTCATCTCTAAAAATGATGATTCTAATATTTTTATATAACAAATATCCTTTGAGTCAAGCATATTTATAACAAAGGATTTCATTAATCATGTTAAATTGCACCTTAGAAGACAAAGGCTTCTGATAATTGCTTTTGTTCACCCCAATCCAGTTGAAGGTTGTTAGAATCACCATTGGGCAGAATTGGAAAGTCAGCACAATTTGCCTTCCTGTTTTTGGCTCCTTTCCCATCTTCTGCCTTAATTTATGAGCGTGTATCTTTCTTTTCTTTCATCCTTCCTTTCTCATAATCCCCTCCTTCCTTCCACAAGAAGGGATGGTGGTCAGTTATTTATTGCTGATTATCTGATCTTGTTGTTAGGACTGAATTTTAGCCAGTGAGGTACCTTAAGTAATACTTGCATATTAAGCCTTTTCAAAATCTCATATCTGTCCTTACAGTAAGATATACTATTTCTTCATGCTTTTTAATGTAGCCACTTTCCTCCAGCCACTGTCTCCCCTTGGCCGAAGCCCCATTGGCTCTGGCCAGGCCTGCCAAGTCTTCTACTTCTGCTCTTGGCCCCTCTGACGGGTTTTCCTTTTCAGAGCCAGATGATCTTTTTGATACGCACACCTAATTTTGTCACTCATTCACGGGAAGTACGTTGTGGTTTTCTAGGGCTTGCTGTAGAAGGTCTAAAATTCCTAAGTTTGGCCTATGAGATCTTGAATGGTCAAGCCTCACTTACCTCTAATACCATCTCAAATAGGCTTCACCTCTTTCTGCTCCAGACAACCATGAAAGTCTTTTCTCCGTTTTTTTTTCCCTTTTCCCTTTTTCTTTACTATTTTTAGGTTTTTGCCATATGGCACATGTGCTTGCCAGAGAGAGACAGAGAGAGGGAAAGTGAGAATTTACTCTCCCCAGGGTGGATGGCCACACCACAGTTTCTCTTCCGTTCTTCTCTTGGGATTTTCAGCATGCACACATGCCTGGTATGATTTTCAAGGTGCCAGGTCCAGAACTCTAACTGATTGACTGCATGGGAGTCTATTGCCTTAACCACCATGGCCCCTCTTTAAAGAGAGAGAGAGAGAGAGAGAGAGAGAATGAGAGAATGGGAATCCTCACAGAGTATCAGTTTCATGATCCAACCCCAGCCAGCCCCACATCATGGGTCCTTGTGTACTCAGGGAGGTCTCTGGACTTGAACCTGGAGCGTTCCCATGTGAGTCATCCTCGTGGAGCATTATGTTTTACAGCTGTAGTACCATCTGGCCCCCATTCCTCAGTTTCTTGACAATACCGTACTCTTCTTGCTCCAGGTCTTCCTAATTGTAATTTGGAAAGAGAGCAGAGCATGTGGAAGGGGAAGCGGGTGTGAAAGCACTTGGCATATTCCCAGGACGGAAAGAAAGCAAAGCCAGCTGGGGAAAGGTCTCTAGGCCCTGACCAGTGGAGGGTGAAGATTTATTCATGGCAAACCATTAAGAGGTATTAAGCAACTTTCACATACATTTTAATTTTTTTATTATTTACTTTATTTTAGAAAATTCACACCAGGGGCTTGGCTGTGTGGAGAATATATTGAAGTGGGGCTAAAGTGGCATGAGGATCAGGTTGGATGCTGGGGCCATTCTGCATCTGGTTGCTGGGCCATGGGTGTGGCAGTGAAGATGGAAAAGAAGTGGGTGGATTTAAAAAGTAGTGGGTCATTGGAAAAATCATGATGTATTCTTCTGTTTCTCTACACAAAAATGTGTCATGACTTTTCCAGTGACCCAATATTTTGGAGATGGAATCAAAAGAATTGGTCATGAATTGAGTCAGAGGAGAGACAAGGGGTGTCCAAAATGACTTTCAGGTTTCTGGCTTTAATAATGCCTTGGGTACTTACTAGCAGTTATTGCAGTAGCTACTAGATGGGAGTGGGGCAATGGAGAAGGAGATTTTAAGAGGTAAGAATCAGGAGTTCTGTTTGGGGACTGTTGAGTTTGAGATTCTTGTGAGACAGCCACGTGGGCAGAGGTGGCAGGGAGGCAGAGGGATATGACTGTAGAAATCAGGAGAGCGGACTGGACTGTGCCTTGCATGGTCGGAAGCTGGGCCTAAGCCACCGGCCTGGAGTGATTGTCTAGGGAGGGCACCAAGATGAGAGGGGTGGGAGACTGTTCTCAGAGGACTGACATTAGAAGCCAAGCAGAGGAGGAGGACATAGCCCAAGACCCCAAGGAAGAACTGGGAGAGCCACCTGAGAAGTATTAAACCCTGTGGGAAAGCATGGGCTCCAGAAACCAAGAGAGACCGTGGCAAGGAGAGCCAGGCCAAAGGGCACTCTTTGCATTGCCTTGCTGGGGCTCACCCCTTTCTAGGCAAAGTTTTATCACAATTGCTACATACCTGACTTAAAAAGGATGAGGGGACCAGCAGGTGGTCTGGTGGTAAAGGTGTCAGACTCCCACAAGGCCAGCTGCAGGCCAGCTCAGTTCATTCCAGGCGCATGTATGTGCATGCCCAAAGTCCCAGGAGGAGAAGGGAGGAAAAGGGACTGCGGCATAGTCATCCCCCCCGGGGGTGAGTTCTCATTCTGTCTCCACCGCGAGCATGTACCCTATTATGACAAAAACCTAAAAATTAAACTAAACTAAAATAAAAAGGGGGAGGAATAGAAGAGGAGAAGGAGAAGTTTTTGTTGGACTTTGCTACATGGAGTTTGTTGGTGACCTTGACAGGCCCGGTTTCTGTGAAGTTACATCTGGGAACATCCAGGGAGGAAGTCAGATTTCAAAAATACATAGAGAGGGAAGGAAACACAGTTTCTTGCTGTTCAGAGAAGACCAGAAGCATCCCCTGAGATTGGTTTGTAGTGTAGAATTTTGGGTTCCACTCCAGACCTACGGAGTCAGAATATGCATTTCTACAAGATCCCCGGGTGTTTCTATCTGCACTGAAGTCTGAGAAGCACTGGTGTAGATAACCAGATAGCCCCCGAGTGGAATTGTGTCATTCGTTGGAGGGAATCCTAGGAATGAGGGAGGAGTGAGGATGCCTGCTGCACTTTGGGGAGCCCTTGGCCTGGCTGTCTGCTGTCTTCCTAGAGAAGGGTGGGCCCTAGATGGTGCTGGGGAGGTGGGCGGCTCCTTGTCCAGTTCCCTAGTGCTTCCCTTACATTAAGCTGGCAGCCAGGAAGAGCATGAACAGCTGCTCCTGTTAGCCCTTTCAGGAGCGGCTGGGAGATTTAGGACAGGGATGTCCTGCATGGCCTGAAGGTGACTGACAGTGTCTTTGGGGGCACTAGAGAAGGAAGAAGGGGGTAAAGGACCTCTGCTGATGGGAAGAGCACTCCTTGGCTCATTTCTGCGTGGGAGGTGCCTGTGTGCCCTGTTTCCTCCCTCGAACCTCTACAGTTGTCCTGTGAGATAGACAGGGCGTCATTGTCCCTGAACAGGTGGGGGCTGAGGCACAGGGTGCAGGGACTTGGGGAACTGTGTGGTGACTTGGGGGCTGACTGTGCTCTCGGTGCAACTCTGGCCGGAGGAGTGCGGCATCTCTTCCTTCTCAAAGGACTGGCAGCTCGTCCTGCCTTAGCGCAGTGCTGGCAAAGGCCAATTTCTTTCTCAAGACTTTCTCGAATATTAGAGTGATATTCAAAAAGCAGTTAAGCACTAACTCAGAACTTATTTTGATAGGTGTTTCCTCATTTACTTCATAACAACCCTGAGGATAGAGCCGTCCTGTGTTTTATTTATAAATCGGGCTGAGACCAAGAAACATTAAATTATGGAACCAAAGCCATTAACTTCCTAATGGCAGGCTTCAGAATGCAGGTCCCATGTTTTTCTCCTGTCTCGTACTGTAAGTGATATATAACTACCTTTTAGAAGTTGTAGTGTATAATCTATCATCTGAACCATTTTTCACGTACAGTTCAGGGGCGCCGAGTACATTGACACTATTATGCAACCATCCTCACCACCCATCTCCAGACTCTCCTGCCATCCCGTGACTCTACTACCCGCTAACCACTAACTCTCCCTGCTTCTCTCTCGTGGCCCCTGGCTACCACCGTTTCATCCCCGTCTACGAATCTGGCTGTTCCGGTACTGCCTATCAGTGGAGTTGTGCAGTCTATGTGCTTTTGTGACTGCTTATTTCACTTAGCATGTCCCCAAGGTATTTCCATTTGTGTGCCATGCTTTCTTTGCTTATCTGTTGGTGGTGCTTGGGGCTTCACCTTGAGGCTGTCATGAAGCGTGCGATACAAACACTGGTGTGCCAATGCCTGTTCGCCTTTGCTATCAGTTCTCTGGGTGTGTAATAACTACTCTCTGTGTATTCCTTCTCAGGTTTTCGTTTTAGAACTTGTCCTCTATGGTGCACATGCTATTTACTACCTACTTAATGAACCTTTGACCCATAGGTCTGTGTCCTTGAAATAATTTTCAGTAGTTTGCACCATATTTGAAGGCCTTACTCACCTCACCCCAATCCACTAATGGAGCAGCAGACAGTGTAGTGGCTTAGAGTGTAGACTCTAAAGCCAGACTTCTGGGGTTCAACCTCAGCCCCGCCATCCACTAGTTGTGTGACTTTGGGTGAGTTCCACAAGCTCTGAGAGCATGCAGTAAACTAGTGATGCTGTGGAAGTAATAGTAAAATCTGTTTAAATATCTAAGCGGGAGTTTATGGGGTAAGAAACAGATATTGTAATTCCAAACTTGACCTTGGGCTGCTGAGAGGCGAAGTAGCCCTGTTGTCTCCAAGGCTGCTTTTGCAGGTAGAAGGAACTTCAGAGTGAGTCTCTATAAACTGGTAGACCTCTCTAAGCCTAGCAAAATGCCCAGATTCCATGGGGAGAGTAGATTGGGAAGGTGGGGTATGGTGGGAATTGCGAATTATTCCCACTGTTCTGATTGCTTTAAACTTCAGGACCGTCATCAGGTGAGTTAACATTGCAGAACTTACCAGTTACTTGTTCTCTTGAGGTCCCATAGACCAGATGGAGAATTCCAGCACTCTATGCATGTGTACGAATTTATGTGTGTATATGTCTATGTATTTTCCCCTTTATTCATGATAAGGCCTGCATGCACATAGAGAAAGAGTAGGGGGCGGGGGAGAGAGAAAGCACCTTCCACAGGGTCTGCTTACTCTACAGTCCCCTTCCTCTAGCCTGATGGATCTTGGGCATTTGCACACAAACAGCAGGCCTCCAGGGGCCTCAGACCTTGCAAGCCCCTTCCAAAAGCAAATGATTTCTCTTCTGCTCCAACTGATAGCTAAGATTTAGAAATGTCCAACTTCTGATTTTTTTTTTTTAGAGATGCCAGAAATCTGGATTTTATGTGAAATATCTCTTTTAAAAATGTTAATAGCAATATCAGTTTCTAAAGCACTGTGAGTGAATGAAGCACATCTGTAGACCACCAAATTTGTATAGATTCACAGCCAAGTGGTGAAAGCTGATCTTCAGCAAGAAAAAGACGAAGCCAGCCCACGGAGAGGAGCACAGTGGTAGTCCTGGCAGCGTTCAGGGTGCTGGTTTCAGCTGCTCCTGAGCCCTGGCTGCAGCCGTGACCTCCTTCCTGTGACTTGGCCTTTCATTTCTTTGCTGAGTTGATGACATACACTTACTGTCTGCTGGTAAATTCCCCTGTGTAATATGAACTCCTTTACTTAGCTTTCTTTTTAGTAGAAATGTTCAAACACACAAAGAGAATAGTACAGAGAAATACCTTGTACCCATCAGTCAGCTTCAACAAAGATCAATTTATGGTTAATCTTTTTTTTTTTTTTAATGTTTATTCATCTCCTCTTCTGAGAGGGAGGTGAAGAAGAGAGAAAGAGGGGTGCACCCCAACAGTGTCTTCACCCTGCGATCCACCCCAGTGTCAGCTGGCCTGGATCATAGGCACACATGCGTCCCTGGTGTGCTCAGGAAGGTCTCAGGACACAAAGCAGAGCCCTTCCTGTGTGGGTCTGGCAGTGTGATCCCTGCACCGCTGCCTGGCCTCAGTTTATGGCTAATCTTATTTCATCTCTATTTCTGTTCTTTCTCTTCTCTATTAATTATTTTGAAGCATATCCTATAAATCATTTCATTTGTAACAGGATTGAGATATTAAAACAGCTTTTAAACAGTTTCTTAATATGATCAAATCTAGTCAGAGTTCAGATTTCCTCAATTTAAAATTTTTATTTGTTCAATCAAGATCAAAGTATGGTCTGTGTCAGTTGGTTGAGATGTCTTGGTGATCTCGTAAATTACAGGTTCCCTTTCCATCTCTCTCTTTTCTCCTTGAAATGTGTTTGTTGAAGAAACCGGGTGGTGTGTTCCGTGTGGCTTCCTATAGTTGCTCTGTTGCTGATGGTGTATCCCTGGGGTGATGGGGACATATTCTTCGGGGCCCTATTGCTCTGGTCAATTGGTATGTAGGTTTGGAAGCTTTATCGGCAGGACTACATCAAATGGTTACTTGCATTTTTCAAGATGC